ACTACTCGGAGCAAGAAGCTACTAGGGGCTCCTGGCCTTACTAGTAGTAACTCGCCCAGGCGCACGGGACTGGAGCGGCGTCAACTTCAGGGTGGCACCCCGTGAGCTTCCGAGGAGCATGTCCTCGGTGAGTGACACCGGGGAGTGACACCGCAGTGGCAATGGTGACTAAAAATCCGGCGAAACACCCGTTTTCAAAAAATGTGTGTGAATCTATATGGATTGGATGATGAGACTGAGATATGGTTTCTACTGGATGAGAGCTACTGTATCCTTTTTAATCTTCAATGCTGGGGAAACGAACGGTCATGTCCACGAACAAAATCATGTGTCAGGCTTGATTCTATGATGTAGCAACATCATGTAATCCATTCCAATTTCCATGCGATAAATCGGCAGCTCCTCTCAAAGCACACAAAGACGGGGAAAGCGCTGTTCATGATCGCATGCCACCGTGATCAAAAACATGGAGCGTATCACTTGCAGAACTCAAAACTCTTCTCCCAGTGCTAAGCCGGTGCTCTGGATCATTCCAACCCTGGGCGCCGTGGTATTCTCGCAGCTGTTCCATAATGCGTGTGGCCTGCGGGGCGGCAGCTCAGTGAAAAGAAAGTGAGCTGACTATCCAGGCAAGTTGAAGACCAGGACAATACTAATACTCTCATCCCAAAAAAAGTGATGTCCACTGAAGTTGGAGTCTTTGAAAGGAAAGTCATGAAATTTTGGCTTGGAGCATGATATCCTCACGTGAAAAGCGATCCAATACCATGGGAATGAGCATTGACAAGACGTTGCCACCAGAATGTTCAGAAGAGTTCAAATGCACGTGTGACAGGCTCTGATGTGAGCCCTCCTGGGCTGTCCACTGTGATGCTGTGGGGAATAAGGGTCCTCTTTCTGAAAGGAAGACTTTCACCGTGACTTTGCTCAAAAGCTTTCAGAACTTCAGTGAGCAACTCATGTAGCTTGCAAGACATTGCCCTCATTTGCTCTCACCAACAGCAACAGCACAAAACACATGCCACACCAGCATGACAAGCCCTTCCGAGCCCTTCCGAGCCCTGCCAAGCCTTGCCTAAGGACCAAACCATTCCACCCACCCAATCTGATCCGATCCTGTCATCGATCCCTCTTCACCTGTCGTCACACCACCTGTCACGCTCAAGAGCGCTGACTGTGCTGAGCACAGGCACCTCATAAACGCCATCCCAATCTTTCACGTCCGCACCAACCCGCCACATGTGCGCCAGCTGGCTCCCCACCACTGCGAACCTCAAATGCGCCAGCGTGAACTTGCACCAAAAATGTGGTCCTTTTCTGGAAGTCCTATGGGACCCGCGAAAAGGTGGATTAGAATAACCATGGGATCGTTTCTGCAGTCTGTCTCTTCTTTGGAAGATGGGTTTTGACCACCATGAACTACTTGGAACTCTAGGATCAAACATGTCAAAGGAATGTAAAAATTCCTTTGCGAGGCTATGTATCAAGGCCGCACCACCTGATGCACCAGGTTCCATAAATCACCAATTGGCCCATGGTTGAAAACTGTGCTTGAAAGCAACAGCAGGCTCTGCGGTCTGCATCCTACACCAGGCTCTCTCAAGGTGTTTTGGATCATTGCATGAGCTCACCCCGTGTGCGTGGGACTGCTCACGTCTGAGCCCAGTCTGCGTCCTGGGGTATCAGATGAGATTCCAAGGCTGCCAACCTGCTAAGGAATGTACCATCGGCCGCCCCGTGCGGTTCATCGCGTCCTGGCAAGAGGGTCACGTGGAAAGACATTTGTCACTTGGTACGTCTCGTTTGACCTCACCTCCTTCAAAAGCATACGTGCTTGGAAAGAAACATATAGAAAAACAATGGACCCACAGAGGAAAGTGAAAACGAGGTTTCGACGTTTCGGAACGCCTTTTCACCTTGAGCCAAAACACGTCATGAGTCACGTGTCTGCAGTACTCTAGCGGAGTATTTATGGGCTGTACATGCAAACACTCCTCCTCTTGCAAAGCACTGTACTGCTGCGCAAGCTTAAAGAAAGTAAACATGTGAAACTTCCCGCTGCTGAGCCACTCTCAGTTGTGGTAGTGGAGCTTGGCCAGGGACCTTACTCCAAAACATCCAACTGTCCTTTGCTTCGCTTGCTGAGGAATGCATACTGCAGGTCCTCCATGGTTTTGCGAAGCTGCACCCCAGGCACCGATTTGGTCAACACATCGGCTTTGTTCTTGATTCCTGGAACGTGGTGCACTTTCAAGTGGCCTTCGGCAACCCTTTCTTGCAACCATAGGTAGCGAGTTTGGATGTGTCTGGCTTTTCCCAAACCCACTCGGTTGACAGTTCCTTTGGCTGCGTTGGAGTCGCCTTCTATGGTGACTTCCAAATCCAAACCAAGATCTGCGCATAGGCTTTGAAGTCCTAAGCCCACAGATCCGCCCTTCGCGAGTGCGTAGTATTCGCTCTCGCCTGTGGAAAGGGCTATGGTGGATTGGATGTTACTGCTGTGTTTCAGCACGCGTGTGCCATAAATGGCAATCATGCCAGTTGTGCTTTTACGTGTCACAGCATCTCCACCGTGGTCGGCGTCGACCTGGACCCTCAGCTTTGAGGGTACCTGCTGTGAGCCAAAACATTGCCCAACATCAGGGTATTTCTTCAAGTACCTGATGAGACGTTTCAAGTCTGCAAGTTTGGCTTCTGTTGGCGATACCATACCTCGAGCAAGGTTCCTGACTGCGTGTCCAATATCGAGTCGATCTTGGGACAGATACGCAGCACGCATCGTAGCTGAACGATACTTCGATGCCTCGCTCTTATCAAGCAGCGGACTGCGGCTTTCCAGCATCTGCTGATCTGCCGACTTCTTGACGTCTGGTGATTCTACACCATTTGCCTTTTCCAAGCCAAATGCCTGGATCAAAAGATCAACGTGTCTCCGATCGGCTTCGATCACAATCGATCCTTTGCCGTTCTTCTTTTCGACTCGGATCAACCGATTCAGAAAATGGGCTTCTGTTCGGTCTCCATCCTCGTCTCCAAGAATTCCGAGACATTTCAGCTCATAGGCATCTTTGAGGACTTGGCTGAGCTTCTCCAAGTGTTGGGCGTCTCCGAGTGCTAGGAAGTCATCTCCACGCACCATCACTCTGACGTCCCAAGCTTCTTGGTAGAAGACTGACGCATTCGACAACCCTCTGCGGAAACCAGCTTTCTGCAGAGTCTCTGTGTAGTGCGTCTGCCAGATATTTGGAGCGTCCTGTGTCCCATACATTGACTTCACGAGAAGTCCACAGGTTTGTCCATCTTTACTGGCTTCGTCCTCAGGCGGCAGCTCTATGTAGATCTTTCTCTTCGGGGTTCCATAAAAGTGTGCTCTGGTCTTTCTTGCCTTTATCTCACGCACAACTAATCGGCTCCTGTAGTTCGGGTTTGTCGGATCTCCCTTATTGGTGTCCAACCATCTGACTGGAATCGGGGGTTTCCCCGTTTCCTCAAAACACTCGGCTCTTGGCCGGGGCACATAAACGCCATGCTTCTCTTTCAGGTAGTCCATCTCAAGGCGTCTTGCCTCCTTCACTTTCTCGGCTGGCAAAATGCCGCCGTTCACATCATCCATGTAGACCTCTTCGAACTCTGGGTCCATCAGAGGCATCTCTGGAACTGGGCCTGCTGCGAACAGATCGAAGGTGTTCAACTCACCCTTTTCTGCTAGCGTGTCACGCAGGCTCCTCAGCACTGCTTTCACAAGCTGCGGTGGGTATACCGCTGCCTGCCTAGCAATGCCTCCAATCAGATGGATGCGTCGGTGCCATGGTCCTTTGCCCGATTCATTCGAGCAGACTCCTTGCAAGACTCGGGCCAACCCTTCATCGTTGGTCATCCAACCGGTCTCCTTTCTCACATAGCCGGTGCCTTGGAGTCCTCTTCGGTCGGTGGCCATCATCTGCCACCTGCACATTGGACCTTTCACCACAAACACACCATCTTCTTTTGCTAAGGCCTCAACCTTCTCATCCTTCCAGCTGGTTGCGGCCCATGGTGCCTCATGGAGGAATTTTCGCCCCGAGCGATGCTGCTTGACATACAGCTCTACGCTCGTATGAAGGTGATGGACGGCTTCGTCCATTTTCCTCCTCCTGACATCCGGTGCCATGTTTCTCCAGTTTAGATTCTGGAGCTGCGAGAACATATGGCACGGAGGCGATCCGGTCAAGAGAGCCGGTTCGTCTCTCTCTAGGATGTTGTGCACCTCTTGGACATCTTCGGACTTGTTCAAGTCCCAGTATGTTCCATCACTTTTCGTTTCATTCAAGTCGACCGCGAAACCCGGTCGCAACTTGTACCGCTCCGCGGTGAACCTCTTGGGCGAGTAGGTTTCCATGACATCTACTGCTGACATCTGCATATTCAAATGCGCGATGTCTCCGATCTCTTGCTCAGTGATCTCAATGCCATTCGCCTCATAGGTTCCTTGAATGATCTTCTTCAGATGCTGCTTTGCGATCTCCTTCTCTTTTACCAAGCTTGCTGCATCTGGCTTCCACCCTGCTGGTGGTGTTTCTGGAACATGGGAAAACTGAGACGTTTTCTTTGGACTCTCTTCCACTCTGGGATCAAGGTCTTCTACGGCAGTCTCTGCCGTCCTCTTTGTTCCTTGGGCTGGATTCGGCTTGACCTTTGCCCCGGGTGGATCTATTCTAAGTTCCCCTGTTCTCTTCTTGGGCTCTGTTGCTACCTTGGCTTTCGCCACTGGTTTCTTCTCTATATCGGCTGCTTGCCTCTTCATCTCATATCTCTCTTTCGGGTCATCGGGATAGGTCTGGGCTTCCCGATCCTGCGCTCTTTGCTTCTTCTTTCTTCTCTGGTTCTCCGGCCGCGTCTTCGGCCGTGATGTCGGTGTCCTTGTCGGCCACGACTTTCGGCTTCACAGTGTCAAGCTGTTGCCGTTCTTTCCTCTTCTTTGCATGGGCTTCAAGTCTCGCTTGCCCAGCTTCATCCTTTTCCATTGCTTCGGTGATCCTTGCTCTGCACGCCTCTGTGTGCGGCAAGGTCGTCCTCTTGTCTTCCAAGATGCACCTGCATCCTGGGCAGCCTTCTGTGGCTCCATGCTTGTGCACATCCTCTCTCCTGATGTACACTCGCCTCTGCTGTGGTGGTGCCACTCGTTCCTCCTTGCGAGGTGGTACCACAAGACGCTCTTCGAGCATCAACTGCTCACCGGCAGGCCTTGCCGCGGAGTGCTCCCACGGTAAGCCCCGCAAAAGGTCCCAACCACTTGGGTCCCAGCGGTCGGCTGAACTCAGCCGCCGGATTCCTGTGCCTCTGCGCACGCCATGGGCCGTCATCACCAAAATGGATCCTGTTCGGCCATGGTGACCTACATAGCGTCCTTCTTTCAGGATGCGAACTCCCTCGCCTACCTCTCTGAAGTATAGGCGTTCACCAAAAGCTATGGCGGGTTTCCGCCATTGCTTCCCACATCTTCTGGCCTCAGGCGTTCTGCCGTCTTGGCCTTTCTTGTACCTGCTCAACAGGTCTCCTGCCTGCCTTGGCAGCCATGCCAATGCAGGATCATCATCTTTGAGCTCTTTGCCGAGCTTCTCTTCCAACGCGCTGCGGAGGACTCGTACTTGACATTTGACCTCGTTGCAGGCGTTCTCTGCCAGACCATTCGCTTGATGGTCTCCTACTGGCGACTCTTCCGAAACCCAGTCTATGCCGGTTTCTTTCGCTGCCGCTTCCTTCAAAGCTACCACGGATGGCTCACCATCCGACTTGAGAACCACCTTGCGGTGTCCCAAGTTCTTCAAGAAGTTCGCCACGAACTTCACTGCATACGGCGTTGCTCCCTTCGAATCCACGAAGGGCGCCGCTAAGGACTGTGTCCTCTCATCTTTCACCACGAGGATCGGCTTCACTCGCTCGTCCTCCACACCGCCCCGTGACATGAACGTGTAGTCCATTGCCACTGTGGGCACAAGGCTCTTTGCCTTCTGTTCCTCGGACCTCGTCCGATGCGGCTGTCCTACAGCCCGTCCAGCAATGCAATGCCGGCACCAATTCCGATACTGCACATGGCCTGTCGCCTCGTGCTCTTCAATCTCAGCCGGAGTCGGATCCTCCGGAGCTCTTATCTGGATGGGTTTCTCAACCTCATCAACTAATTCCAACTCATCATCTTCTTCCTGCCTCTCTGGACCAGGTCGGCCTGAATCCATAGAAGCATCCCCTCTTGCTCCTGCAGCATTCAACTCTGCAATGCCACAGCATTCCTTGGTCGGTTCATACCCTGGCTTTCTCAAGTAGAAATTGTACACTCCCTGCTCTTGATACACAGGAATCCAATTCCGCTGATCTACAGCGCTCGCTTTCTCCAGGATCGCCTGAACAGCCTTTCCAACTTTGGACCCTTGCGGAATCAAGTTTCCGCCTTCACATCAAGAACTGCAATCCTTCCAAAGCCTAAGCACTTGGATGCTGAAATCAATGGCTTGTGAACATCGGCCATTGAGCCTTTCATGCGGCATTTGTTGCCGCTCTCATCGAACCCTTCAAAGGTTCCAATGCCCTGACTGGGCACCAACTCTCCTGATGCAGTCTTGAAAACAACCCCGTTGCCTTCACTGACAACCACTCGGTCCTCCCAGCCATTCGGGATGGCTGTCTGGGCTGCTCCAGTGTCCAGGTTAAACTTCATCCATTCTTCGGCGGATGAAGTATCCGCTATTCCAACTCCACTCAAGTCTGCCATGAGCATTCCGACATCTGCTTCCGGAGCTGGCTCAATGCCATCATCCGGATCATCCATCTCTTCCATACAGACTGCGGCTTTACCTTTGCCGCCTTTTCCACCTTTGCCTTTACTGCCTTTGCCACTCCTATCTCCTTTGCCTGAACCTGACCATTTATCGCCTTTTCCATCCGGCCGTTTCTTGCTCCAGCAATCGGCCGCTCTGTGTCCCTTCTTACCGCAATTGTAGCAGGTGATATCTTGAGCCGTACTTGAGCCTTTACTTGAATCTCCTTTGCTTGAGCCTTTCTTTCCATCACCTTTGACCTGTTTACCTTTTCCTTTACCTTTTCCTTTGACCAGGCTTGCAATCCATTGTCCGATCGAATCGACATCCATGGGTTGAGGTCCTTGATAGTTGGAGCTTGATGAACCTGGTTTTGGAACAGATGACTTAGATGTGAGAGATGTTTCGATAACAAGCTCGATTTCCTGTTTGATGAGTGCGTAGGTTGTTAGTCTACTTTTGTTCAACAGGAGGTGTTTTTCCAAATCGGGTGGAAAAAGCATCTCTAATGAGGCGGACTTGATGTGGTCCGATAGAGTCTCCCTTATTCCTGCGGCACTCCTCCGGGACTCGTACCGCCTGATGAGTTCTTCGAGCTGTTCGATCGCTGGCCTCACCGCGGACCACGTTTTGACTCGTTCAGGTTGGAGAATTGCTCGAAGTATATTGCGTTTCGGGGATCCCAACGACGGTGAACCCGTCGATATGCTTCAAATCCATTTGAAGCTCCTACCATCAAATCCTCTGTTTCACCTGAGGTCAGGGTCAGGAGGACGCGATGAATTTGATCAGCTTTATCCTCTAGATCGTCGATGGCTGCTATAGAGCCAGGCCCAAATGCGGATTCCATTCCGCTCATTTCAATCGCGTCTTCCTGCTCCAAGATGTATTCAAGGATTTCTATGAACTCTCTCCCAAAAGTGGTTATGAACAGGTTGTCGATGCTCCTAGCCCACTTTCGGAATTCCCCTTCAACATTCCCAAAACTCTCAGGACGTCCCAAACGCTTGGTATCCATAAGTATTTGGGACTTTCGTCTATCCTCCTTTTTCTCGAGGCTCTTGGCCAGTTCTCCCACTGCTGAAGCCAGCATAGATACCCCACCTTGGGATTCTCTCAGTACCTGGTTCTCCTGTTCCAAACGTGCCTGGTTTTGCTGAAGCTGCAAAACCATATCAGACAACTGTTGAATCTGCTGTTCCAATGCCATGGTTCCCTAATCTCAACCCCGAAGGCGCTGCTCTCGCACCTTTTCCGCTACGGACGATTCGTCCGATCTCCGGCCCCTCTTCTTTTGTTTCTGCGGTCCTTTCAGCCGCTGAAGTTGTTTCTGCGGTCTTCTCAACCGCTGGAGTGGTGCTTGCGGCTGAATCCGCCGCTGATGTGGCTGGCAAAGGCTCTTTCTCCTCCTCCTCTTTTTCTTTACTTCCTTCTCCTTTTCCACTCGGGGCGGCAGAAGCTGCCGCTCCCGAGGATCCCAGCTCCTCCTCCTCGGAGCTCTCGACTTTACTGTGTCTCTCTTCCTTTAGGCGGAGTGCTCGGTCCCTGTCACTCTCACCGGACCCTTTCGCTACCATGAAAACGAGGTTTCGACGTTTCGGAACGCCTTTTCACCTTGAGCCAAAACACGTCATGAGTCACGTGTCTGCAGTACTCTAGCGGAGTATTTATGGGCTGTACATGCAAACAGAAAGAAATATATATATATATGTATATATATATATACAGTAGAAGCTTTTCCTCGAAGAGACAACCGACAATGACAGCAGACTAACTAAGGCACACACTTGATAGGCGGAGGTGGCGTTTTTGCACCACGACCGCTATCAAGCATCCATGCCCCTAAGCAGCACGCTCTTTTCTATTCTCAAGCTTTCTTCAACAGCAGTTTCAACTCCTGCAGCAAAAGCTCTTGTGGTGGCTTCACCCATTGCATCATGAGCAACTTAACTTTACAGCATCTCACTTAACTGTATGGCCCAACTGTTTTTCAGTTGCATTGACATGCGCAGGCCACCAATCATTTGTTGTGCTGTCGGAAAAAGAGTTGCCAGCCAAACAAATCTGGAGGATCAAAGGAAGGCCTAAACATACCTGCACACGGTGTTCTGTGCACACCTTTGCAGGCTATGGTCACATGAAAGGGAAAGTCCCTCCATGCAAACACTAACATCCAGTGCCAGAGGTGAAATCAACTTGCTTTGCGTCATCTCTGAGTGTGAAGAAGTGTCACGACCTGTCATCAACATTCAATCTGCAGGACTATGCTGGGCTGCTTTTGCCGGAGAACTGCAAGTCAAGTCACAAGCAAGCCTCGCAACCCAAGAGATCGAAATATTAATGCCCACGCTTGATAGACTGATAGACCATCTGCGACTTGAACTGTGCAGCATCAACTGCGTTTGCAACTTCAACACCACTCCACTCCACTCCCTGCCCTCCACCCGTGCCCAGCATAGAATCAATTATGTTTGCAACTTTCATTCAAATGCACCAAAAGCAGGTATATAAAACTTCCTCCCTCAGTGGCCCTGAAGGAAACCTCAAAAGCACCGCAAAAACCACACAAAATCGTGTTCCAAAGCAAAAAGCCACGGCCGTCTATCAAGCGTGTGCCAACTACTATGTCTCACACCTTATATATACAAAACAAGAACGTTAGACTGAAACAAAAAGCTGGAGTTACGCCAAAGAACTTATTGCATGGATCACACTATCCGAGACGACCTGGGCATGACAAATCCAACGGGCCTGCTCATCATTACATAGCACATCAATGAATCTTACAGCATGTCACGACGATATTATACTTGCAAATGCACAGAGAAAAAAAAAATAAACAAAACAGCAAACTTGAAGCAAGCTGGGAGAACAAATGGGAACTGTCTCTTCCAGAACATCTGCATCCCACCTTCATCCTCTGGTAGCGCAGCACAGCTTTCCGTCGACCTTCGATGTCGCAAATTCCCGAGCCTCCAACAGTCGCGCTTCCGCCCACAACGAATCTTGCGGCTTGAAGCCTTGAAGCTTTCTTTCCAAGCCAGACCATGTCCAGATTGTTTGCCAATCAAGAAACAATTTGGATAATTGGCAAATGCGTACAAGAACGACTCACAAGATCCTGCCTGGAACAGTAGGCTGTTCTGGGCCGCAATCAGGATCCCAGCAAGCATCATTTTTCACAAAGTCTACCTCCCACCTTGGCCACGACAAAGCTGGTCGCAGACGCATTGAACCCCCTTTAGGTGCAAGCGGAACGTGGTTCGGTCTGGCTTTCCAAACACCATGCTCCGGCGGACCAACCATCCATCTAACACACAGCTAACCCTCACACCAAGCAAGCTCTTAGCCCAACCGATGTTGAAAGCCAACACTTGTTGTGGTTTGCGCACTGCTTGAAGATGTGACAAGTTCCCACATTAAATTGGGCGATTCGTCATCACATATGCCATAGATGTCATCCCGTAAGACTCAATGGGAGGAAAACTAACATCCCAAGAACCTCCAGTAAGCTTAATGTGGCGATTGGCCCCATCCGAATTGGCCCGAGTTGATGCTCCTCACCTCTGGCATGCTTTTTTTCGTGGTCTTTACACTCATGATCCGCAGTGACCATGGCTCCAAGATGCTCAGCAAAGGCTTTTGCATCAGCCTCCTAGAACGAGAAACATGGGCCACGGCCCCAAGTTTTTGTACCTCTAGCTGTAGGTCATGGCACCAGGCTACCTAGAAGATCATATAGAAGCTAGATGGTGGGCTAGGCCTCCAGGTTTTTAGCCATCCCCAGATAGCAAATCTCAGAGAGTGGAGCATTGGATGGTTGGGAGGAAGTTTTGGCTGATGGCAGCAATGAACACCCTCTTCAGGTGAGGGCCAAACTTCAGCGCGCAGCCACCCCTCAACTCAAAGTATCTGCAACAAGGCGTGGAGTCCACTATATATATAGTCTTTGCTTGTTCCCGTGCTTATTCACATCCACCAAAAGTATTGGCGTCCAAGTCTTCCCAAGATATCCTGACCAGGGCCAGGTGTGTCAGTGGTTGCCTCCCAAGAAGAACTGTTATATAATTCAAAGAAATAAGCATGTGCTTCACAACTGCTAGCCCTGTGCAATAATCTCCATCCAGTCATGGGGTGGCGACTGTCTCATTTAGAAGTTTCTTATCTGCTCTTGTGGCGTTTCATCTGGCCAGTAGTCTCCGGTCTCCTCGTGGTCGCGGCTCGAGGGTCGACCCTCACAGGTGCTCACACCCCTCGCGGAAGAAAGCCCAACGAACCAGACCGGGAACCCGGGCGATGACGACTCTGGTTTGGGTAGTGCATCGCTACTCGTAGCAAGAAGCTACTAGTAGCCAAGTGCATCGATCGCTACTACAAATTAACATGTGCATCGCTACTAGTAACAAGTGCATCGCGACTTACTTGGAAACACTGAGCGATCTGTTGGGTGGTATTTTCAAATGTTGGTCGTGTCTGGTCATATTTAAGAGTGTCTTGTCATGAGTCACTGTCATTCTGATTGTGGAAGAAAGGTCCTCTTTAAAGATTGCTTGGTTTTTCTGGAATCCCAAGAACTCTTGCATTCAATTCTTCTATTGCTCAAAGAAAAAAGGATGTGGCCACATCAGAATTACCAGGCAATGTGAGAGAGGGGAGTTCCACCATCAGAGCCTGCAAATGACAGACTAGCCGGTAGAAGCCCCAAAGGCAAGGCAGTCGAAGGAGGTACATCCCGCACGTGGAGCCGAGCACCTGCACGTGTAGATTCCAAAGAGAAAATTCATCTCGTGCAGCTTCTGACCTTGGCAAAACCCGCAGGGTTTGAGCTGCCTGTGGCAAAAGGAGATGCAGCAAAAGTTGCAGGCTCAAGATTGTACACTATGAGACTTTGAAGAAGCAGTTAAAAAGAAGCTTTGGATGCTGAAGGAAAAATTTCAGCACATGAACTACTAGTTGACCTGGAATCGGCTCCTTTTGGCGTTAGACGTCACCGACAAAAATGGCCGAGCTCCCGCCGAGGTGCCGAAGTCTTTGATGCCAGAAGGAAAGGCGTTGCTGTCCGCCTCCAGAGTGACCCCCCGGGTTTTCGCCATCCAGCAGTCGTCCAGAACAAAGTACCTGGATGGAAAATGGGAGAGACGCCGTCAGAGGGAGCCGGGAAAATGGGAGATGACTTGGAGGTGGCCACCCAGGATTAACCCCTGAGAAGGTTGGCATCCAGAGTTGACTCAGGCTACTGTATATCTCATAGTTGTGGAAGAGGAAGCAAGAAAGGCCGGGGGATAAAACCTCGTTGCGAGCCATGGTGGCTTGCTTCCCCCAGACTGCCAGCATGGCAGCTGCCAAAGCATGGGCTGCTTCTTTTTTCGGTGCACCAGTGCACTGATCAACGAAAACCATAGCGCGGGTCACGAGGTAGTATAATTACATATGTAGTATTATGTATACATTGACACTCTGGCAGTGCAGAGAGGCACAAAGCCTTGCACATTCTTCGAGATCCTGCTCTTCACATCACCGGCTTCGAGTCTCCGTACCGGTAGCCCAGCTCCAAGAATCCCAAATCCTTCCTGAGCAGAAAACGCAGTAATTACATGGACCATGCCCAGTGATTCACCTCACAACACCACAAACAACAGCTCTCTCGTGCAAATGGCAGCAGAGTGACGAGGAAGAAAAGAGCTGCAGAACTCACCAGCAGAAAACTCACCAATGCTGCTCACATCTTCAGCCAGGTTTCAAGCTGGCTGCAGTTTTCAATAGCTCCTCCTGCAGCTTTTATGGGTGCAAAATGACATACAGTATGTAAGTGCAATCCAGAAAGTAGTGTCATCTGAAAGGCAAATCCAAGTATTTTATTGTTCGAAGACATGACCATTTTTTGGTTGTTGGATTACTTTGCATTCTATCCATATACCTCAGGTTGACTCTGTACATGCATGTGGGAAATGTACAAGCTCGTAGCTGTCAAGATTGCCATTGCTTTGCCCATCTTTTGATGCTTCTCATGTGTCGTCCGAGAAGGCCTTCGCACTAGATTCGCTTGGAAGAACTGATGGACAGCGAATGGAACTTACTATGCACACCTGCATCGAAAGATCGGCGCTCCTTCGAGGGCCGAAATAGAAAACCCCATCAAGCCAGATTGAAACAGCGAGGCGTCATTCTTTTCAGTCGAGCAAGCTTGGCAGTCTCCCGGGGTTTCCCCAGGGTCTCCTGGTTCAAGGTGCATCCAAAGTGATTCCAGGAGTTGTAGCCCATGGGAGGTGCCTTGACCAAAGCATCATCAAGTGCCTGCGCCAAGGTGAACCTCGGACTTGTGTGAGCTAGATCCACTAGATCTATCATCCTAAGAAGACAACCGATCCCCACTCAACGCGGAAAGACTTGTCGTTCTCTATTTGAAGAGGGCTGCAACAACAGAGTGTGGTCAGCAAGACCAATGTCGATTATGAGGAGACCATGATGATTGCAAGAGACGATGCTGCAAAAGATTTTGCCTGTCCCATGATTCAACGTTCGGTCATCTTTTTCCAAAACAGGATCTTCCGTCACAATCTTTACAAGGCATGGTTCCCTCTGAATGATTACCTTCTTTCTGCTATGTCTTATCTATGAGTTCGCTTTCATCTTGCTGGCAAATTTAGGTTTCTCAAGGTGGAGACGAAAACACGCAAAACTCCGTGTGTGGCCCCAAAAAAACCAAACCAAGAAGCAAAAACTCCAACCGCAGCATGTGACAGACCGCTTTCCATGATTTGGGGGATGAAGGGATGGGTGCTTTTGGAGTGGATCTCCACCCAATAACAACTTTAGCCTTTGTGTGCCAATTGCTAGATGGTGGACCTCAATCCTACAAGCTGCACAATTGTCTAATGAAACATGCCGTTATTTTTGTCTCACCTGTATCAGCGTTGAATTCTAATTGGTTTCCCGTGCAACATCATACATATGACTTCTGTGGCCCATGGTTGCTCCTAACAGCCCTAAGATGGGAAGGTTTCAGGCATATTATGACATCCCAAGCACAGGTCTTCCGGCAAAAGCAGGAAAAATGCTGAGTGTTTTGATGGTTGGTCTTGCGGGACACATTTTTTCGGCAAGATGTGTCCATCAATCAATCAAGTTTCGCCTGGGACTAAAGTCCTATCATTGCCAATTGCAGAGGTTGATTAAACGTGCTAGCCATCTTGCAGTTGAACTCTTTTGTGAGTGCCGGAATGTCACTAACGGACCGAAAACTTCATCAAAAGGTGAAAACCAAATATATATACAACAATTTTGTTTCTCACACGTCAACCATACTCTCCGGCATTCTGCTCCAAAAACTGCGCGCCACAAGAACAACCGCCCTGTTTGTGTGCCTTGAGCCCAAAATGTGTCACTAAAATGTGTCACGCAGACCCTGCCAGTGCATCAACGCTGACATCTACGTGGGCGATACGCAACAAGGGCAAGGCGGTGTTGAAGATGCCCCACCACCAAGCTGGTCCGGCAACACGTCCATGCGTCTTGGAGCAAAACATCATTGGTACACCCCACAAGATTTTGCCAAAATCCTAGCCCCCTTCTAACTGCGGCGAAGGGAGTCGAAGGGAGCAGATCTTCAAGAAACTGCAGGGGCCAACTATTTGGGCACCAAATTTGCCTTTGGCTTAAAGGCCAATGCCAACAGATGGAGAACTGGACTTTGCGCACCTAGAAGGTTTTCTGCTGGGTTTGGCAGACATACTGATCACCTCCCGGTTGGATACTGGGGAGACCCTCTGTGGCGAGACCAGTTTTTGCTAGGGTTTTTGGACCCCAAAATGAAAGCCGAAACATACGACACACATACGAAAACGACTGCAACGAACCAGGCTGAGTGCACATCACTTCTCGACCCTTAGCTCTGGACTTTCCTGCCTTAGAAACTGGTCGTGCCTGTTCAGTCAGTGCATCGTTTTCCTACTCCTAAGCTCGCAGAAGCCTACGAGTACGGTATCCTGGATGGAAGTTTTGGGCAAGTAGTTTCGTTTGCCTCTCACTATCAGACCAGCTTTCGTATTGAGGTACCACTCTGGCACAAAGTGGAAGACGGGGTAGCTTTCCTGGGGAAAGAGCAACAGGAAGCAGCCCTGCCGATGCTAGCCAAACCGGTCCTGCCGGACAATGTGCCGAGCCCGGTCTCGAGCAGCGACGCCATAGCTGACCCCGCACTGGGCGCAGACAAAGAAGCTGAGGAAGCAGAAGAGGAAGAAGCTGAAGAGGAAACTTACCTCCCTGCCACGGGGCAGGGTTGTTATTCGTTCCATAGGAGCTTGCTGCAAAGAGCGGCGCAAACCTTCTCGAAGCGAAGTCTGGACGACAAATATGGGCAAGTAGCCAAGTGGCTGCTCACTGGCCTGGCAGTGGCCATTTCGCGGAAAAGCTGGCATCGTCTGTCAAAACACAGGACCTGTACAGTTACCCCCTACTGGTTACTTCAGAGGCACTTCCAACAAGGATATGCGTCTGATGAAAAAGACGCCGCAAAAAAGCCCTACTCGTCTGCTCATGCGCAATCCCTGTATGAAGACACATGGGAAGCACTTGTCACTAAAATCATACGTCAGGGCTACAATGAGGGGACCAACAGATTTAGAACGGCTAGAGAAGAGAGAGATGAGCTTGAGTTCTACACCACAATTAACCAGAACAATCCACTGTGTGTACCCCCGGAAGCAGGGTCGGGAAGCCGGAGTCAAGCTTCCTCTCATAGCCACCCGTAATACCGAAATGGAGCACGTAACGGTTTCAAGTGCGAGTCCCATAGCACCCTTACTGTGCATTCACGTCCTCAGGCGGCATCCCAAGATGTTGTCCTAACCAGAGGGGGTAAACACTAGTATTAGACAGCTCTTGACACGCGCGCAAATGACACGCCCACGGCCTTGCGTTCATACCTAGCGAAACCGGACACAGCAGAAACGGGAACATCCTTGGCTCTACTATACTGGCTCAAGTGGTCGGTAGTCGAGGTAGAGTGAGAGTGTCCAGACAGAGACTGCATCCTTGTTGTCTTACCTGCACGAGCGCCGAGGCTAACATGTCCCAGCTCCATGCTCAAAGCAGTGACAGTGACGGCCACTGCCCTCTCTGCCTTCAGCTCAATACTATTGCTGGCACCACAATTCAAATTCATGTGCCAGTAAGCATTCACCATACCTGGGAAATGTTAGAAGAATATCTCGTCGAGCACCTGCCCTCGGTTAGTCGAATAGACACCTTTGGCTGTGAGCTCACCTTGCTCGATGCCGACACGCACCAAGCACTGCAGGATCCCATTCAGGAGGACCTATGGTGGAACACCCAATTCTGCCTAGTCGTCCATGAGTGTTTTCAGCACGTTGAACGCAAAGAACAGATTCAGGGACTTGAGTATGAGGACTACCCCAAAGCAATCAGGGTCCCAGCCAACGACACTGGGATACTAGAGGCCAAAGCTTTCTTCTCGACCGCGCGACTCCGACACATCAAAGTGGACCCAGGGTTTCACACAATCAATCGACAAGCCTGGAGGTATTGCCACTCACTTCGAATTGTCAAGTTGCCGGACACAGTCGTCGCCATCGGATATGCAGCCTTCCAGGGTTGCTACTCCCTGATGACGGTTGAAATGCCAGGTTGCGTCGAATTAGGCGCTCGCCTGTTTTCGGAGTGTTGTGCTCTGGAACAGGTTGGCACCATTACGGATGGAGCCTGTCACTTGGCCATAGGAGCTGTCATAGGACAGTATGCCTTTGAAGAATGTGCCAAGTCAACAGACTACAAATAGTCCAACTGCCAAGTACAGTAGTCTGTCTGCAGGATGGGGCCTTCCGTAGGAACTATGTACTCCGCACTGTCGCCCCAGGATGCGAATATTTTGGACTCTGGGTGTTTGAAGAATGCTACTCCTTAGCACAGATTGGGGACCAAAGCACGACTTTTTTTTCCACGAGTGCGGACGCCATGTGGGCGGTGTGCCCAGGTCATCAAAGAAAGTATGGAGACACTGCAAGTAGGTGGGGGGAAGCAAACCAAAACACAAAAACCAAAACACCAACCAAAAACTAAAACACAAAACCACAACCAAAGGCCCCCAAGCCAAGGTAGGCAGCGTTTCCTCTGTACTGAGGTGAGACAGGTGAAAAGTTGATGAGCTGCAAAATACCTAAGGGCCTGAACTCGCTACGAAAAGGCAAAATGCTTCTGATCGTGGGTGATTGTTCCGGTTGGCCAATCAAAAGGTGGCCACCTGTCCTTGGCTAGGATGAGATCATCCAAGCCACGTGTAGTGTTTGGCACACGAATTATCTTGACTTTGCGAAAGGTGTGCCTTGAGCAGTGTCAGCAGTGATTATCTGATTGGATGACAAATGCCACAATGTCATCGGATGCAAAGCTCGGCAAGCCGTGGAAAACTCCCATTCCGTAGCACAGCCCATATTACTGTCTGCACATGCGAAAAGCAGAGGCTGGTATTGAGTATGGCAGTGAAAGGCAATGCAACAAAGAAACTGCTGGGTCCAGTGCTGATTTCCCTCCCCAGGGGGAGGCACAACACAACTCCCAATGGCTCCCACGCGTTTGCCAGTGGGATTACATGGGATGTTCATTCTTTCGTCAAATAGTGCGCTGTGGTGACACTATTCCTCAACATGCAAGGCCCATGTGAAACTGGTGAAACAAGGACCTATCCTAGCATGGTACTTGCGCCATCTTTGTACAAGATTGGCTGTGATCGGCTCCCGCAGACGAGCAACTAAGGTTCTCACCTGGGCGCCATTCATCAGCCACTCTGCTACCTCCCGCCTCCCAAGGACCAAGAGCCAAGGCTCCCATCCCGGTAGGCTCACAAAGTTGCAGACGACGAAGGCGAGAATGGCGACGCTCTCTGCGCATCGGAGCCTAATTCACTCTCGAAAAGTTGGGGAAGTATGCTTTATGCTAAGCCGGACACGTAGCCGCTGTCAGGAATCATATGCAACCACGGTGGCCATCGCATGGCTGGGCAAATAGCAAAAGCATTTTCTTCTGCATATGTTCCTCTCCATTTGTGCCGGACTGGGAGTTTGACTAGCCTCCGGAGTGCAGTGCAGTCGAGAAAGGCCCGACTGGCGATGTAATGCAACGATGGCGGTATCGCCAGCTCTGGCAGTGCAGCACAATTCATGAAAGCTTTGACACAGATGGTGTGTAGCGTATTCGGCAATTTGACTTCACCGAGACTGGTACAGTGCGCAAATGTAAATTCCTGAATTTCTGCAATCATTGTGTTCGAAATGTCAACTTTCTTCAGTAGTTTGCAGTTGTCACAGGCATGCGCCCCCAGTACTTGGAAGTCAGGCGTACGCTCTAGTGTAACTATCCCAGTAGAGCATAAACATCCTTGCGACAATTCCCTGGCCTCAGTCCGAGTTTGCGGCGCCAGTTGATGATTGGTTTCTTGCAGGACAAAGGTGGCTAAGTTGATGCAATCTCGAAAGAGATAGTGCCCAAATTTGGTTGAACTACAGAATTGATTCGCACCTCCTTCGCTGGCATGGACCCACTGCAGGGAGCTGCATTCGGCGAAGGCTTTATAGCCAAAATCAACACAGCCAGGCGCTGTGACTCGGTTAAGCAGATGACAACTGCGAAAGGTGTTCTCTGCTATTCTTACTACCGAAGCGGGCATCCTGACTATCCGTAGTTGCCGGCAGGACTGCCAAGCCTCTGCTCCCACTACTCTGATGCCTGGTTCTATGCTGACGCGGCGCAATCGTGGCACAGCTGTGAAAGCACCGTCAGGAACCATTTCCTCCGGGTTCATGGGGACATGGATTGCGAGTGGGATGTCTCTGAATGGACATCCTTCAAAAATTGCCTTCGAGTGAAGGACTTCACTGCAGCTACGAAACACAATGGTGTACTCAGTGCTTTGTTGCAATTTTTCCCAGATTGGGTTCTCTAAGTAGGTTTGTGTGTCGGCTTGTAAGAAGTCTATTGTACATCCGAAGACCTTCAGGTCAGTGACCGAGGCAATATAGTCAACCACATGGTCTTCAAGGTCCTCAAATCTGTCAAACTTAGCGACACTCATGGTGATGTGCACAACAGTGCCTGATAAAGCGGTGAGTGTCAGATGACACTCCATGACAGGTTCGCGCTCTCGAGGAGAGCTAGCATCGGAGGAACAAGGAGTCTCCATGTTCAAACTGCTGAAGGAAATATCTGATTGAGCCAGGGCAAGCTGATTATGA